CAGCCCTAGAGAGGGCCAGTGTGCGGCCCCTGAGTTGCTTGTTGTGAATTTATGCTCTGGTGTCTGGCTAATGCATGTGTCTTTTATGAGGCCACTGAGCTCATCCTGTGGGCCTGGCTGCCAGCAGGGGCCTCAGAACTGCCTGGGTGAGCACCTCTACAGGGTGCGTCCCATCGTTGCCAGGTGCCAGGCCACCTCTCTGGTCCTGGGCCGCTCAGGCCTCGGTGCTGCAGGGGCTCTGCCCTGAAGGAACAGGGTATTTGCTTCTTGCACAAGGGTGGCTGGCACCTGCTCAGCCTGCCTCCTGTCTTTCTGGAAGGAGAACAGCTTCAGCCCAAGGCAGTGGGAAGAAATGGTGAGTGTCAGGGACTTCCAACACTAACAGCGATGGCCATGAACGTCACTATGGGCTTTCACTCCAAATTAGGCCTTGCTGCTGACCTCGGCATCTTGGGACATGCAGGCCTGAGGTTCTCAGCTGTGGCCAATGCTGCTGTCCCAGTTTCTGGATCAGGAGCGGTCCCAGGCCATCCCTGGCTCATCTAGGGAACTGGTCACACCTCTGTCTTGCAGGCGAGATGTCTTCTGAGCTCTTGCCATTGCCACTTGGGCGAGCCCTGGAGCCACATGGAAATGGTTCACACAGTCCATTAACGTGCACAGTTCTCTGATGGCCACCACTTGCTACTGGCCAGGCACTTGCCCACTTCTCTCATTTCATCTGAATCAGTATCTTTCCTTCTCCGACCCAGGCTCCAACCTTGAGTGCACGCCCTGGAAACAATCACTGAACAGCAGTGAATCACTCTGTGTTGGGGACTCGAGAACCTGGGCTTCAGAGGAAGAGGATGATTAGCTGGGCTAGCTTGTTGGGACAGACATCCTGGAGCATAGTTAGGGTCTGGTGAGTTGGCTGACAGGATGCTGGGGCATTTCCCCCAGATAACTTCCTGGGAAGGCACCTGAGATCCAAAGAGCCCTTCCAATTCTTTGTTCATCCACCCACCCACATATCCAGCCATCTACACATCTACCCATCCACCACCTCTCCATTCATCCACCTACCCAGCCATCTGTCCATCCACCTGTGCATCTGTCTATCCATCCACAAAGCAAGGTAACCAAGTGCAGAGTCACAAAGCCCATTGCGTACAGAGACACATGGGCACCATGAGTGAGTAGAGTGACCCAGGGGAGGGCATTGAAGGGCCTTTGACTCTTGTCTTTGATGTTGGAGGTTCCATAGGGAGTGGTGGGGACTGGGGAAAACTGGGGAGAGGAGTATGCTGTGAAGGGATCAGGGGTTACCCCACTTCACTAGTTACTGTCCTGAGGAAATGTGGGCCCGGCTGGACTTGATGTCCTGATTTTTCAAGAGACTCCAGAAGTATGAGTTTTTATATAAATTCTCCTGATTGTTAAATGTTGACAACTCATACAATTTAAAACACGGGCAGGCCGCAGTCATGTGAATCCAGCAAAATGTGTGCCTGTACAGGCTAGAATCAGCTTGGGGTCACCAGTTTGCTGTTTCTGGCATGGGATCCAAAAGAGAAGTTTTGGAGTTAGATCTAGAGCCTGCTCTGCCGCTTGCTGTGTGAGAGCAAGTCACTCTCGCCCTCAGGTTTCTGCCTTGCGGAATGGGCAGGTGCGCATACCCACAGGCTTGGCATGAGGCCCTTGGGCACACGCTCAGACATGGTGGCCACTGTTATTTTTCTTTTCAGGAGCAAGCGTTGGCCCTGGGCCTGGCCTGGTGGCCAGTGCAGACCCTGCCAGGTCCTGGGGACCAGGGCCTCACAGTCAGCCTGGAGCTTCCCCTCCCTGCTCCCCCATCTTCCCCTCACAGCCCACCTCTGATCTTCCCTGGCTACTTCCACTGAAAGTAAAAAGGGGAAAATGGAATTTTTAAAAAGCAGAACAAAGATGCATGTGTGGATTTTATTTTTAGATCCCCTATAAAGTTAAAGCCGAAGGCCCTGGAGACATCATCAGAGTAAAAGCAGTTGTCTTAGTGGGAATGAGGCCTGGGGATGGCCCCCCTCTCAGAAGCCTCCCGTCTGAGTGTCTGCTCAGGGGACTTGGGGTGGGAGCTCCTCCTGCGAGGCCAGTGGGCAGGGACTGGACAGTCCCGAGCTGGACGAAGTCTGGCCGGAGCCCGCTCTGTACTCCGAGCACACTCTGAGCCCACTTATGTGTGCCCCGCACGCGCCCTCCTCCCAACCCCCGTACGTTCTCTCACTGCTGGGGTGGCTCCACCGCTGTGGGTTTCCCAAGTCAGAGAAAAAGAGAAACTTGAGGGAAACCGTGTGAGGTGTTTCTAATCCTCTGGGCTCCATGCCATCAGCCGTGGTCTCTGGTGGTTGCCATGTAGGGAGGGTCCTGTCAGTTCCATAAGGGTCAATTCCAAATACTGTGTGATCTTGATCAGTTTCCTTTTTCCTCTCAGCTTCTTTTTATCCTGGCCACTAAGAGGGCACAATATTTATCTTATAGAATTGTGTGAGGTATACAAGTGTAATCCTGGCACTAAGAATTCCTTGAGGTCAAGGACAACGTCTTATTCATATCTGGGTTCTTACAGCCAGGTTCATCATCAGTACCCAATAATTATCTGTCAAGTTAGGTTGTTGGTGAGTGGTGTGTATCAATTAAGAAAGCTTTTTCCTATAGGAAATAGAAAATCCAGTTTATAGACATCTAGTCACATAACAGGAGTCTGCCGGCCAGGTAACTGCTTACACTGGTTCAGTGACTCTGGATGTCAGTGCAGTCTTACATGCAAGTAAGCTTTTGTTCTTGCTTGTTGGCTCATGATCACAAAAAAGTTGCTGTGGCTCTAGCCATTTTTTGTGTTTAAGGCAGCTAGAAGAATAAGATGGTGCTAGCTGCATATTTCCCTTTAATCAAGAAAAACAGAAGCCCTTCCAGCCCCAGAAGATTTTCACTTGTTTTATTTCCTAGAGCTGAGTCACATTCCACTGAATTGCAAGGGAAGCTGATAACATATTTAATTTTCTCAACCTCTTTAATGGTGATGGCAGGGACGAGGAAGAAATCTAGTACCGGTTTGTCCCAGTTCGTGTTCCTCTGACCCTTCACTTTCTGATGGGACTGTGGGACACAGGCATTTTGTGAGCTTATGCAGGGTATGCCTAGCATAAGGGAGTGAGGGGAATCAAGCGCAGAATTTGGGGCTAGCAGCAGGAAGCTCGTGTGATATCCCTGGTCCCTGCCCCTCACAGCACCCTGGCTTCTAGTCTCCATCTCCTTGAGGAAGTAGACAAGATGTTGTGTGAGAAGTTGTCCACCTCCTAGGGTCCAGCTTCAGGGAAATGGATGAGAAGGCCAGAGAATAAGGGAGGACAGACAGGTAGGAAGGCCAGGCGTCAGGGGGACTGTGTATCTGTGTGTCTGCACACAGAGTCCTAGGTGTGCACGCGACAGAAGCCGAAGGTTACACAGACCCCACCCAGGTCAGCCCAGACTGAAGGGGGCATCTGTGTATGGCAGCTCCAACCCCCAGTTCCCTTGGTGTGGGAGCCCACGGTTGGGGTCTGCAGGCCTCCGGATGGTCCTGCTGCCCTGGCTGGGCCTCACTGTGGGGGTGGAGGCCAGGGCCAAGCCCCCCACTTCCTGTTGTGCAAGGCTTCTTCTTCCTGCCTTTCTAGACATGCAGCTGTTATTATTCGTCCTGGCAGTTGGGGGAGCAGAGCGCATGCTCAGTAGCGAGCCTGTCTGTGTTTTCTACTCTGTCCAAAAATGGGTACATATTACCCAGAAGTTGAAAGGACAGAAGACATATATGAAATAAAATATCAACATTACACATATTTATGTACTACTGACCTTTGGGTCACTGGCGACTAGTTGACCTGTGAACATCAAGTCTACTCTATGGCATTTTTCATCTCTTAAAGGGAAGAAATTATAAACAAATAAATACCTTAAATTACTTTTTAAAAAGCTTTGTTTTAAAAAAAATTCTATTTTTTAGTTAGTACAGCTGAAGTAGGCCTATAAAGAATTATAAAGAATTTACTCAAAGACAGGTACAAGAACTAGAATTGTGATTTTCTTTTGCACTTTTTTTTACTAATTGTGCACATTTTCTTGCCACTTAAAAAAAGAAAATTCTACAACTGACTTCACTGTGAGATCTTTAAAATTAAATTGTTTTGATCATAACATTTTTTAAATGTATGCAAAAATAAAATATTTGATTTGAGGTTGGAGCGTAGCACACTGGGTTGAGCGCTTGTCTAGCATTCATGAGGCCCTGGGTTTCATCTCCAGGAGGTGAAAAAATAAGTTGATCTTATCAGAGCTAAAAACAAATTTGAAACCAAAAACAAATTTAGAAATGATAGACACAGCACTACAAAATAAGTAATAAAATTCAAAATAGCAATATTAATAAAAAGGAGAAGAATGTTTAGTGTGATCTGAGGCCCAGTTTTTGTTGTTTGTCTTTGTCTGTGTTCAGTCAAACTTCTAGCGACAAAAGAGCTGCAAACAACTCTCAGTGTAATTTCACTGACTTGTTTAGTTCTCTGAGTGCTACTGCTTTGGTGATTTTGAGACTAGTTGATGCATGTTGGAAAAGAAAGTAAGTAAAGACTAGCTAAGAAAAAGATTTTTAGTTTAAGGGAAAAGATATAAATATAAAACAAAAAATTAAAAGAGGGAAAACTATAATATTAAATTTGGATAGGAATATCAGTGAAAATGTATCTTTTTGAAAAGTGTGGGTTTCTCAGCTCTGTGCATTGAAGCAAGCCAGGATCAATCCTGTCTCAGCAGCAAGAGCCCAGCTCGTGCTCACCTTTTGGCTTCTATGCACCCTCTGCACCAGGAGATCAGGCCCCAGAGAAAAGACTGGTTCCAGAATGGAGCAGTCCAAAGTGAGCGTCTCCCTATGTTCAGGCTGCTGCAACAAACTGTACCACAGACAGGCAGATTAAAACAGACACACATTTACTTCTCATGCTTCCAGGGGCATGAAATCCAAGATCAAAGCACAAGCAGACTCAGTGTCCAGTGAGGGTCCGTTTCCTGATTTGAAGATGGCACCTTCTTGCTTGTCCTCCTGTAGCAGAAGGGAAGGAGGTGCTCTCTGTGTGTCCTTTTTTTTGGTCAGGGTTTTGCTATGTGGCCCAGGCTGGTCTTGAACTTCTGAGCTCAAGTGATCCTCCTGCTTCAGCCTTCTGAGTAGTCCCAAGTGCATGCCATCATGCCTGGCAGGGCCTCTTGTATAAGGGCCATAATCTCATAACCTAACCACATCCCAAAGACCCAACCTCCAAGTACCTTCACATGGAAGGGGTTTGAATTTCAATATATGAATTTAGGGATGGGGCATAAGTATTCAGCCTATAGCAGTGAGCTTGAAATATCTTACCCCAAGAAGCAAGGAAGGCTTTGTCCTGGTAAATTTTAGATGTCAGCTTGGTTACCTCAGTTGTTCTGTCAAACACTAATTGAGATGCTGCCAGGAAAGTATTTTGCAGATGTGATAAATATCTACAATCCAAGGGGGATTATCCTCTGGCAAGTTGGTGGGCCTCATCCTACAGATGGAAGCCTTAAGAGCAAACCCTGGGGTTTTCTGGTGAAGAAGGTATTTTGCCTGACTAACACAGACACCCTGCAGGACTTTCCAGCCTCCTGGCCTGCCCTGAAGATTTCAGACTCAACTGCTCCATAACTGAGGGAAGCAATTTCTTTTTAAAAAAATCACACACACATGCCCCTTCTATTAGTTCTATTTCTTTAGAGAACCCTGATAATACACTTTCAAAGACTAACAGGGATAAACCAAGAAGATAGGAGCCAGAAGAAAGGGTCTCCTACAAGGCAAATTGGGCAATTTGAGTATTAAAAAGAGCAAAAACTAAACTGATTGAAACTGGACAAATAAAAATCCACGAGTTCAACCCAATGTTGAAAAAAAAAAAAAGATGAGAACAAGATGGTTGCTGTTGCCATAGTAGCTGTTATACCAATTCCTTATTCTAGAAATGAAGAAAAATAATTGTGGATTTAGCAGGAAATGTGAGAGAAAGATTGGAAGACAACCGTTTGTGATCCCTGGGAAATACTGACTGAGGGCTGGGTTATCCACGGGCACTGAAGCACTCGGTGAAAGGTTGCTGGGGACTGGATATTGCAGTGGTACCAAATGACCACACCACAGCTCATCATGGAAAGATTAAAGGTCACTGGTTTAGCCCTGTGACTATAGCAAGTATCAGTAGCATGGGCCCAGCAGACATTAGGCATACCCCACTGTGATGCGGTGTAAGGTGCACCTGCTGAAGAGTATTCAGAATTACTTTGTGTGATAAGGTTATGATGGGTCAGGGGAACAAGATAAGTCAACCCAGAGGAAACAAGTGCCCAGGCTTGTGTTTAGAGCCACTTGCTCTTGCAAGCACTCACTCACTCCACAATATTAGCATTAATCCCTTCTGAGACCACGTCCCCAGTGACCTCATTGCCTCCCACTAAGCCCCACCTCTTAAAGGTTGCCCTGTCTCTTAATACTGCCACACTGAGGGTGAGGCTTCCAGCACATGCACATTTGGAGAATAAGCACAGCAGATGATACTGGACAGGGGATTGTTACGTTCCCTGGGTGTGATGGTGGTAGGGTGTGTATGCACAATCCCTGGTCTTAAGAGATACATGCTGAAGTCTTTAGGAGTGACATGCTGTCAGCAACTACTTCCAAATGGTTCAGATAGGTATGTTAAATACCTGCTGTATGTGATAGCTTCCACCATGTGTGTGTGGCAACATGTTCACAGCTGTTGCATTGAGGAGATGCATGTATGAGTGGTTTTTGTGTTTGATTTTCCATTTTTCCTTATAGTTGAAATTTTCCATTGGGAAAAGTTGGGGGAAAATCTATAAAACCAAGAAAATCGAAATAACAACATAAATTTCAAGTGACAAGTATTGCTTTGCTAAGCATACTTTAGAGCATCAGTAGTATGACACCAGCTGTTGCTGCTGTTGTGATTTTCAGGTATGGGGTGAGCATGGAACTCATATCCTAAGAAGATGCAATTCTCCAGCCACTTTTGTCAGCCAAATTATTGTGAAACCTTTTTTTATGGGGCCTTGTGAAGTTGTGTGGCCTTCTCTTGACTTGATGCCAACACTGATATATAAAATGTGCCCTGTTCTTTCATATTTACCCTGAGAGACAATTATTTACTTGGTGTCAATATGATCCTAAACAGAATTGTATGCTCCAGCTGGATCTGGCTCACAGTATCCAGGTGCAAGGTGGTCATGTAGATGGATCCAGAGTATCCACACTCATAGCTACCTGTTTGTCCCCATAGTATTAGCACCATGGCTATAGTTCTGTGAGAGACTTAATAATCCTTTCCTAGAAGGAAGCCTATTAGAAAAACTAAAGGGAATGAAGGGAAGGGAGGAGGCACAAAAGGGGGAAGGAAATGATCAAAGTATGTCACATACATGTATCAATACACCAAAATGAACCCGTCATTCTGTGTAACTATATACACTAATACTGAAAGAAGAAAAAAATACTTCCCCAAACCCCTTATTGCTAAGCGTGTGTGACCCAGTCCTGACCAATAGGATAAAATCATTCACTGGTGGGGGTTTCTGAACCACTTTGTACAAGGGACCTCTTGCAGAGCCCGTGGCTTCAACCCCTTACTCTGTCCCTTCCCTCTGTCCACTAAAACAGGTGCAGCAGCCCTGCTGGGCTGTGAGGATGATGACCCCCAACTGTGACCAGAGCTAATGAGCCAGAACTCTGCCCTTAAGGACAACATGGGACAGTTGCATCAGCCCTGGATAGCTTTTCTCTGGACTTCTAGTGCACATAGAAAATAAACTCTGTGTTTAGGGCTTGTGGGCTTACCTTATAAACAGAACATTACTGAATGATAGATTGAGAAAATACTAATGTTAAATGTTTAAGTTATCATATGCAGCATGAATATAGATGCAAAAATTCCTAACAAAATATAGGCAAATAGAATTCAGCAAAATATAAAAATAATTGTGTATTATGACCAAGTGAGATGCAATGCTAGCTCAGTATTTAAAAATCAGTCATTTTTTTGTCAATAATATCAACAAGTGAACAAAATTATAGCAGTTTAGTTTAAAGCTCTTACTTGACTATATTGTAGTTCTGGAAAACAGCAACACTTCATTCCATAACGTGTTCTGATGCGCTGAGCAGAGAAAGTTTCTCTATGGATGGAGAAAGGCTGAAGAATGTGGAACTAAAGAAAAAATGACTATTTCAAAGTTATTTTTCTTGTAAGGCAGGGAGAAGATGACAAGTGCAAAATAACTGATTAGTTAACATCAGAGTAACTTTGGGTTACTTTTTGTAAGGATGAATGGAACAAAGCAGAGGGCACTTGGACCTCATCATGATTGTTCTGAGACATTTGGCTATCTTTCACTCTCTGGTTTCTCCATAGGTCAGATAACAATTTAGTTTGGGTTTAGTGACATGAAGCTTTAGTGTGAGTTATTGTATTTTGATTTTGGGCCTGGTCTTTTGAGACATTGCGGACAAGGCCAGGTTGTCCACTCCTGCTACTGCCAGTCAACGTGGTGCTACAGTTCTAGCCAGAGTGGTAAAACAAGAAAAGGAAATTTAATCCCTGTCAAAATACCAGCAAGAAAGTTTGCAGATACAAACCAGATTATCCTAAGATAAATGTGGAAAGGTAGAAATGGAAATAGTGTTTCATTTTAAAGTGCACTCTGACACCATTGAGGGTCCTGCAACAAAGCATAGCTCAGCTCCCACAGATTAGAGGACATGACCCCCAACAAAACTACTCCCACGTTAGACATCTTTGACAAGTGCAGCCCCAGGACACCTGCACTTCTGACAAACTACAAGTGCAGGCAGTTCCCGTGAACTCCTCAGGGTTGCTGAATCACTAGCATGATCATGGAACTCAGGAAAGCACTATACTTATGAGTCCAGATTTACTGTAAAGGACACAGGAAGAGGCACCTGAGGTGAGGTGTGGGAGGGTCCTGTGGCAGAGCTCCTGAGGTCCCACCCTGAGGAGCCAGGCTCCCTTCCTCCTGGCATAACGAAGCATTCTTCCACCAGGAAGCTCCATGAAGTTCCAGTGTCCAGAATTTTCATCCGGGATTCATCAGGAAGGCCGGACTGAGTTGCTCAATCTCTGGCTCCTCCCCCAGCCACAAAGGTTGGCGCTTGGATGACGGTGATTGGGCTCAAACTCCCAATCACCCGTCTGGTCTCTTTGGTGAGCAGTCCATTCCCTGAGCCACTTCACCTTTAGCATACACTCACTGCATCCAAGGTTAAAAAAGAAAAAACAGCAAAAACAACAGACACTGCCATTAGGGATAGATTTAGTCTCTCTACAAAGAAATAGAATAAAGAAAACTTTCCTCCTTGATGCTCACTTGCTTGCTTGTTCTCTTGCTTTCTCTGTGTGTGGAAGTAGTAGTGAATAATGAGACTTCTGATGGTATATTAGTACATGTGTATGACATCTTTTGATTATTTTCAACCTATCATCACCTTCCCCATCACTAGAAGTTTACCTTCTAGTTTCCTGTCCTTTCTTCATTTCTGTATTTATTTTTAGATTTATTATGTAAGATAAAGCATGCAATTTTTACCTTTCTGAGAGTGGCTTATTTTGCTTAACAAAATGGTCTCTAGTTCTATCCATTTTCCTGCAAATAACGTAATTTTTTCTTCTTTATGGCTGAATAATACTCATATCACATTTTTTCTATCCATTAATCTGACAGGCAGCTAGGCTACTTCCTCAGCTTAGCTGACTCGCGCAGTTATAACCATGAGTATGTGTGTATCAGTATGGTATGCTGTCTTTAACTCTTTGGAGACTATAGCAAGGAGTGCTATAGGTGGGTCAAATGTATTATCAATGTTTAGCTTTTGAGGAATGCCCATACCGATTTCCATAGTGTTGTACTAGTTTACATTTTCCTAACAGTGTATGAGGGTCCCTTTTCCCAGCCTCCTCACCAGCATTCATTGTTTATTGTGTTCTTAATGACAGCTATTCTGACTAGAGTGAGATAGAATCTCTGTGGTTTTGATTCGCATTTCCCTAATGGCTAAAGATGTTGAACATTTTTCATATACTTATTGGCCATTTTTATTTCTTTTGAGAATTCTCTTTTCCATTCATTTGCTCAATTATCATTATTTGGTTTTTTGAATATATTTCAGATTTTTTTTTTTTTTTTTTTTGTTTTTGTTTTTGTTTTTCTCTGGTACCAGGAACCGAACTCACGACCTTGCGCTTGCCAGGCAGGCGCTTTGCTGCTGAGCTAAATCCCCAGCCCCTATATTTGAGATATGAATCCTCCACTGGAAGCATAGCTACCAAAGCTTTTGTTTCATCTTGTAAATTGTCTCTTCATTCCGTTGATTGTTTCCTTTACTGTACAGGAACTTTAAAATTTGATGTAGCTCCCTGTGGAGGACCAGCTGGATGACTCTCCTTGAAAGAAAAGCAATTGTCTCAATTTTGCCTAAACCTGGCCCTATTTCCCTGTACTGATATGTGTAGAGTTGGTTAAGTTTTGTCTTTACCCCCTCAGTTGACTTTAAACAATGCAAATGGGTCTAGCCAGGTGCTGATGTGTAGTCTTTAAAGCAATGTGACAGGTCAGTGGAGGCCCTACCTTAGCTCCCAAGTAGCATGTGTGAGCTAGGCCAAGAGATGCCATGTCCACTGAGAATGAGCCTCGAGAAAAGAGGCTATGACTTCTCAGGGCATGAAAATTACACATCAGAACGGAAGTACCGACCCCAAAACACTAGATACTGCCCCAATCTGTGATATGCAGATTACACTTTCTGCATCTCTGTCTCTGCATATTGTAGAGGTGATGTCAGGCCTCTTACCTATCCCTGCTCAGGGCACCCACATACTTTCCACTATTCTCACAGTCACTCATTCCCAAACCATGCACCTCTTCATGAAGAAGGGAGAAAGTGGGGTAATGCGCTTGTCCACTGTGAGACCCCACCTCCAGGAAGGTCACCATGCTTCACCCTCCACCCTTCCAGTACTGAGGGCCTTCCCCAAGCTTGGGTGGACCAAGCCCATAATCTCCGCTGGTGGCACCATGAGCATGCATTTGCTGAGTATCTGAGGTTCACCCCTGGATTGAGGTCTTTGTTCTTGTTAGCTGTTATTCTAGATGGAGTTAGGACCCCGTTGGCTCCCCACAACTACACCTATGCCTTAAGGTATGGATTACACTGGAAGTGATAGATTGGAGTTACTTACTGGACTTCCAATAACTTTTCCCTGGGATTACAAATGTGGATTCCTCCCACAACAAGGTCTGGGAAAGGCTTCAATAGTCCCATTTGTTGATTCCTTTGCTATTGGCTCCCTATCCACGGAAGAATAAATTCTCACTGGATGCAACTGTTTGGGTGGATCTCAAGGATATCATACTCAGTGAAAAAGCCAATCTCAAAATGCCACACACTCAGTGGTTCCATGGATATAAATTGTTGGTGTGACAAAGTCATAGAAGTGGAGCAAAGGTTAATGGCTGCCAGAGTTGACAGATAGTGGAAGAGGGTTGGCTGGGAAAGGAAAGCTCCAGGGAGGCCTCTGTGGGGTAATTTCTCCATCACGGTGGTGGTCTCTGTGAATTTATGCATTTGATAAAATGACAAAGAACTACACAGTTGTCCCTTAGTGTCCATAGGGGTGGACCCCCTATATATATCCTAACTATGGATGCTCAAGTCTCTCACATAAAATGACACAGTATTTGCATATAACTTCCACATATCCTTTCCTATAGTTAAATCATTCTTAGTTTGCTTATAACACCTGATAAAATATAACTGCTATGTAAATAGCTGTCACACTGTGTGTTTTCTGAAAATGACAAGAGAAATGTTTCTACATGTTCAGCATGGATGCAGTTGTTTTTTCAACCTGCAGTTGGGTGAATCTACAGATATGTAATCTGTGAATTCAGAGGGCTGATTGTATACATCCATTGTTCCGGTCAAATTCCTGATTTCATATGATATTGGAGTTATGCAAGATGTCACCACTGGGGGCTTGGGAAGTGGCACACGGACTCTTGATATTACCTTCCACTTTCTATGAACTTGTCATTACTTCAGACTAACAGAGAAAGAAAAAAAAATGATGGCAAAACAAAGGCTTCTTTATTTTTCTGAAAAAATATTACAGTAGGGTGTATGGGCATCCTTGTGCATCTGCCATGGAGATGCATTGATGTCACCTGTAGCACTTGCTCTGGAGGAGCTCCATGTAGCCAGGGGTGCAAACAATGCAACCTTCCTTCCCCGGCCTGGCTCCAGCTCCCTGCACATTCTTCATCATTCCGCACCTAGCTCTGCATCTGGCATCACTGGGCACGGAGGGAAGGCTGGTCGGGTGGGCGCCTCTTCCTTAGGAGACAGATAGGAATAAGGTGAAGTAAGAGCTGGGGGATCCATGACACGTGCTGGCCCAACTGGATGGCAAGAGTCTTGAACTGGGCCTAGAAAGATGAACTGTGACCAAAGAGACATAGACAGAAAGAGCCCTTGGGCCATCACCAGCAGGTGAAGGGTGGTGGGAAGGGGGACGCTTAGGGGACCTGGAAACACAGGGAGAAGCAGTGGGACCTGGGGAAGTGGGGGGCTGGGCACTAATCTGAGGAATTTGGACTTTAAAGTCTCTATGGAGGAAGTGAAGGGCAAGAGAGTCACAGGAACATTTTAGAAAAGTTGCCCCTGGGCATGGAGAGGTTAGGCTAAGGCGAAGACCAGGGTCTAATGAGAGGGCAGCACAGGAGAGACGTGGGGAGCCTGGAACAGGCAGGCCAGGTGTGGGGAAGCGAGCTCATGAAGGTGGTCTTGTGCACACAGTTAAGGGGACTTGTACACACCGTGCAGCTGCAATGCTTAATGCCCTGCGGAGCACGCATGGGAGCTACAATTCTCTGGCCAGGACTCCTCTAAGATTCCCTGGAATGCAACTCTTTCCAAGCTGCCAAATTATCCCCATCAGGACCATGTGACAGGGCGGGCCTGGCCCTGGGCTGCCTTGTAGTCTTGGAGTTGCAGGGCCAAGAGCCTGCTCACTGCTTGGGAATGCCTTAGTTACTGCAGATGGCCCGCGAGAGGCTGCCTTCTAGTAAGGCTAAGTCACAAGGTGGCTCCAGGGACCTCTCCACCCTAGGTAGATGCAGATTGCAGCTGCAGCCCTAGTAAAGGGCCCTGCACCAGGCACCTGCTTTGCACCACGGGTGTTTAGGTCTGAGCATCTGCCAAAGCCAGTTCAACAAGTCTGCCCCACACAGGGTTCCCAGTTGTCAAAGTTCTGGCAACAGGCAGCACTTCATGCTTCTGTTTTCATCTGTAATGAGGAATTCATAGAGTATTTGTCACCTTCCAGGCTAGGGCTCCGAGGGTGCTGCTTTACTCTCTTTTGTGGGTGTCTCTGGTGTGTAGGTTCTTCCTGGCTCACTCAGTGCTCTCTGGATACTGATTGGGAGCTGGCATTTCCTAGGAGGAGAAGTCACTGGAAACAGTACTTGTTTCTGCACTTATGGGAGGCTGATACTGGGGCCTCATTACCCTGCAAAAAAACACCTTCACAGTTGGGCACAATGGCATAGCATCCTGGGAGGCTGATGCAGGGGAATAGTAAGTTTGAGCCCAGTGTGGGCAACTTAGCAAGACCCTGCCTATAGATAGATAGATAGATTAGGGATGTAGCTTAGTGTGAGGGCCCTGGGTACCAAAACAATCATATCAGTACCAAAAACAATGAAAAAATCCTTTCTTTTCAAATTTACAGTGGATTCTGTTTTTTTTTTTGGTTTTTCTCCGGTACTGGGAACGCAACTCACGACCTTGAGCTTGCCAGGCAGGCGCTTTGCCGCTGAGCTAAATCCCCAGCCCCTACAGTGGATTCTGTACAAACTATGCTATATAAACAGAGATGTATAGTGTCCTATAATGCACATACATACTAGTCACAGTATCTGGAGCGCTAAATAGTGCTGCTAGCCCCCACATTTCATCTTCTCTCTTTTGTTCAACCCATAAGCTCTCTGCTTTTGTGGCCTCAAGGAATGTGCAG